CTTAAAAGTCTACTTTGACAGTGTCTGTCTTTCAGCTTAAATGTGTAGAGGTTGGCATTTCAATCTATCATTAATAAGCGCTGTATTAAGAGCTAGCATATTTTTACCATTTTGGGTTTATTGCCTTGCGCTTTCTTTGTCTGTGTATAGTTTGTCTCCCACTCTTCTCTTTCTATGTTATGTGGAACATTTTGTGTTCTTCCACTTTCTCTTCTCAGCGTCTCTGTCCCTTGATTATCCCCAATATGCTAGGCACTTACAGCTGCTGCCAGTCTGCCTTCGGATCACTTTATTCTGCTTCTTGGGTACAAGGTGTCCCTCCAATGGCAAAGTGCACTTTCATTTCCTTCCCTCATATCTCTCTCAAATCTTTCTTATCCTTAAGCAGTAGCTGCGGTACTCTGTTGTTGTTGTTGTTTTTTTTTTAACAAACTTTTATCTGATAGATTAAGAATTCATAAAAGACATGATTATAACCTCAATTATGTCTTCTCTGACGTTGTTCCTTTTTATGTACATCCAAATGTATGATTTATATCATTTTCCTTCTAAGATTTCTTTTTCCGCATTCATGATTGTAGTTTTCTGCGAGGCACTGTGTGTATTTCCTCTACCCTTTCCTTAAAGTTCACGTGACAGTTTCTCCGTAATAAGTCACTTAAAGAGAAGCTTTGTTTAAGAATGGAGTGAAACAGCAAAAACAGACAGCATCACCAACTCTATTAAAGCAAAAAAATGGTGATTACAAGGAAGCGAGTTTCCAGTGTCTCCTTTCCCTAGTCTTCCTCGCTGTCCTGCAGATGGCAGAGTCATGCCAGCTACCAGAGACTTGCTTATCTCTGGAACATTTGGAGATCCTGACTGGGTCTTGAAACCCTAAAATGCCAGTCTCACACAGATGCTAACACACTGCTGTTCTGGGGCAGGGTCCGCAGGCTAAGGGATATGGGGTCCTCGGTCGCCACCCTCTGGTCTGTGTTGGAGATGCCTTCCCCCCCCCCCCCCCCCCCCCCCCCCCCCCCCCGCCACTAGGCATGCTATGCGGGGGACTCTGCTTTAGAGTGTTGAGCCTGTCAAGCAGCCATGTGCACCATAGCTAAAGAACACGAGACACAAATCATAGCTATCAGTATAGCCTGTTCTCTGTAACCTCTTATCTAAGGCTAGACCCTTGGGGTATCCATAACTTGGTTTTCAGAGTCCTGCATGTTTACTGAGGCATCAGCAATGGGCACAGGGCTCTTGTGACTGACTTAGGCCAGGTGACTCCAGGTGGGGGAAGATGGATTCAATCATCACTTCCTAAGCCACCAAACTCTGACGTCAGCTGACCCAAGGCATCCTGCTACATGAATACACTAGCTGGCACCTCATCCTCTTTAAGGAGGAAGGCAGTGATACCATATGCGAAGATACCTGTGCTGCTAGGAAGGCGCTGGGGATGCCAATCCTGGCTGAGTTCTGGGAGCAAACCTGTTTTTTAATACGTTTGCTCACCGCTAAGTCCTTTTTCGACTCAGTATAGCAAACAAGTTGTGCCCCACTTCCCACAGCAAATCTGCTCTCTAGAGGGGACCACGTTACAAAAGTGGCTGTGCGGCTATCCTCAGGATCACCAGGGTTAGCTTCAAAAGAGGCCATCTTTCTGATTCCAGAAACAGGAAATGCCATCTGCCCAGCCCTGATGATTCAATTCGGTCACCCAGTCAGGGCCTGTGATGGATCCTGACATTCATGACCTTTCTTCCACCAGCCCTCAATCTTGTGGAAAGTGTGTGTGTGTGTGTGTGTGTGTGTGTGTGTTCGCGTGCATGTGTGTGTATACTTGCAGCACACATATTGAGCCCAGAAACTCAATAACTTTTTCGTGTCTGCCAAGGTTTATTTCCCCGCTTCTAAAGGATAACTTGATAGCATTGTAGGTTTGTCATGTTCTCTCTGCCATGTTGATGATTTTACCGAACTCTGCTGTTATTCAAGTGGTTTCTGGGAAATTTGATGTAGCCCGCATTTTGTTGTTCTTGTTGGGAAGCATCCTTGCCCCTTACACTTCTTTTAAGATTCTCTTTGCTTCCATTTCTTCTCCGCTATCAGAATGTGGTAGGCTTCACTGTAGATGTTTTGGACTTACCCCTCTTGGTGTTCCCTGGATTTCTTTAATGTGAACTTTGGTATCTGCTCCTAGCTTTAGGAAATGTTTAGTCATTAGTGTTTCAAATATTCCACTGTTGAGTTCTTTCTTCCCCATCCTATCATGCCATAGGGATTACATTTGAGCCTTTAGACCCTGTCCACACGAGAACCCCAGCTGTTTGCTCATGACAATGGATCTCTCTATTAATTAAATGTCATTTATTTAAATGTGTTAATTTGGTTTCACAGGCATTTTTGCACACTCACTTTCACTACTTTAAGTTGTGATTTGCACAGCTGCCCAGGGTTATCCTGCTTCGGGGACTGTGGTTCCCCCGTCCTCAGCCCTCCCACCCATCTGAAAGAGTGAGTTTGCATTCTGTCCTGCTTTGCTTGGTGTTTGGAGAGAGTGATGAGTTTTGCCTCCTTCCCACTACCAGGAAACTCTCCAGACCGTTATCTCATTTTTTTTTTCCAAATCATCTATTTATAGATATTGATAGGAGCCTTTCTTTCTTCTTCTTTTAATTATGAAGGATCTTTGAGATTCATATAGCACAGGTTTGGAGATTGGCAATTACAGTGTTTCAGACAAACCATTCTCTAGACATTATGATGAAAAACAAATTTACTCATCTTTAGATAAGAGCATAAAAGAAATTGTTTCCAGTTAAGGAGTTTCTCTCCATGCAAGATATTGAGTTCAGAAAGTTTTTCTCATGGTTTTCAACTTGAAAATCACAAATCTGTAGCACAGGGTTGGGGGGATGTGGAGAAAGCAAACCGAGACAGAGAGTCAGAGATGAGAAAGAGGAGAGATGAAGTTGTCCAGTCATAAGTGAACTTCAGTTCGGAATCTAAACTTTCCCAACCACTTCGGAGTGTTGGCAGGCACTTCTCTGCCACATAGAAGAACAAATAAAAGACCTGAGAGGGTGCTGAGAGGTCAGACTGACTGACTGGCCTCTTACAGGCCTCATTGCTTCTCCCTCCAGGAGACATTATATGTGATTTTTGCTCATCTGTCTTAAATAAATGTCTTTTGTCTCACCAACTTTTAGCAATTAAAAGGGCAAGTTAATCTTGGGGCTGTTCTTCCTTCAAAGTATAGAATTAAAAGATGATTATAACTACAGGCAAGAAAGCATTTAGATTATGCATCATTTAGAAATGATAATAAAGATTATCCATATGGTCTCCTGTTCCAGCACCCCCTGTTGCATTAGCAATCACCTGCCATGGGTGTGGTTGTGATTATGTGGTTCATTTCAACTCTGCCGTGTCCTAGGTCGATCAGTGTCTGAATGATGTACTAGAAATAACTGCCATTTTCCCGTTTTAAATGGTAGTAGGTACTTAGGAAAAATATTTTCTCTTCTTTTTTCTTTCCTTTAAAGAATATTTTATATGTCTTATCCCCTCCCCTTCCTTCCACCAGTCACTTGCACGTCTCTCCACTCTCGAGTTGCTAGCCTCTTTTTCTTTGATTATTATTTATACATGTATGCGCGTATGCACAAATAGATAACATTCAACCTGCTGTGTTCGTTTTCATTGTGTGTATATGGTTTCAAGGCTGACTACACTGCACTGGGCAAGAAGCTCATCCCTGGCGGAGGCTGACTCTCTTCCTACGATTCGTTACCTGTAGTTCTTTGTGTATGGTGAACCCCCAGGAAGATCCCCCTCTTCCTTGTTAACATGTCTATTGACCCTGCCATTGTTCTGGTCTTCTAGGAAAGTCTTCCATAGCAGGCTTGGTGTCTTCTGATACTTCCTCACTCAGTGCATCATTTTCCCTTGGGTTTTGAATTCCATCTTTGTCTGTCTTGGGTACAGAACTCCTGGTAATAAGATCTGCAGAAGTGTGTTTTATCTGCTTTTTATGTCATTTCCCATTGGGCTTTCATGTAGGTAGCTGTCACTTTAAATAATGGGTATCTTGTGGTTAGTGAGTACTTTACAGAAGCCTGGATCCTTGTTCGGGGGCTCTTTGTGTTTCCTTCCACTGAGAACTTAACCCTGCTGGAAGTTAGGTTGGTTATAGTCAACGTCATTTCAACATGGAATAATTGCAGTTCACTGGGGTGGAACCTTGTCACAAATTGAGAACTTGTATCCAGTTTTGCTTGGCAGATATTTATTAGAATCTGCTCTTTGACACTGTGTCTCAGACAATTATTTGGTAAGAAACTAGTAATTCTATGAGCGTATCAGTTAACAGTGACATTCATCTGAGGGTCATTGGTTATTTGGGGTTAGCTCATTGTAGGAAGCATCGGCTGTTTGTTGTTGCTGTTGTTATTGTTACTTTTGTTGCTGTTGCTGTTACTGTTTCTGCTGTTATTGCTGTTGCTCCTGTGGCTGCTGCTTACAGCTGTTGTTGCTGTTGTTTCTGTTGCTGTTGTTATCACTGTTGCTGTTGCTGCTGTTGCTGTTGCTGCTGTTGCTGTTGTTATCACTGTTGCTGTTGCTGCTGCTGCTGTTGTTGCTGTTGTTTCTGTTGCTGTTGTTATCACTGTTGCTGTTGCTGCTGTTGCTGCTGTTGCTGTTGTTATCACTGTTGCTGTTGCTGCTGCTGCTGCTGCTGCTGCTGTTGTTGCTGTTGTTTCTGTTGCTGTTGTTGCTGTTTCTGCTGTCCTGTTGTTATCACTGTTGCTGTTGCTGTTGTTGTTGCTGTTGCTGTTGTTAAGAGAGGTAGTGGCTGTTTTCTATTTCTCTATCTACAGCCTGCCAGGGCACCTCCCAAGGATAAAGCATATAAGTCAATACAAGAGGGTCGACTGGTTTGGTAGAGTCAATCCTTGTACCATGACTCTGTCTTCCATCCACATGCACTTCTACATAACTGACCTCTTTGTCCCAAGGAAACTGGCCAAGAAGCGGAAGGAGACCATGAGCAGCACCCGGCAGGAGATGACTGTGATGGTGAATTCTATGGACAAGAGCTATGCTGAGCAAGGCACCAACTGCGATGAGGCCTTTTCATTCATGGACACACACAACCTCAATGGGAGATGTAAGTGTGCCCAATGCATGGCTTTCACTGTGTCTGTTGGGCTAGACCGGGTTCCAGTCGCTCTGTGAGATTAAAACCCCAAATCCGCTTACAGCATTCTTACACAAAACTGTTTTCCAGTCTCTGTGCCTGGAGTTGCTAAGGGAACGTGTTTTTCTAAAGATGCTAGGGCCTAGGGCAGTGAGCCCAGGGACCCGCAGTGAAATGTCTTTCAGTTCTTCGGGAACCTTGACACAAAGGCTCCCCGGTAGTGGCTGAGGCTGCACCTGCTCCCCTCTCTCCTATTGTTGTTACTTAGATCCCATTTGTAAGCAAGCCAGGTGTAGAATTGCACCAGGGAAGTCTGTTGCCGAAACAGGTCATTAAATGGCAGTAACAAGTTAATTGTTTGTTTGTTCAGCTGACAGGTTCTGCCTTTTTTTATAGGGCAATTAGTAGCAATTAATAAATTATGCTTCAGTGTCTCTGAAGCTGCGCATCAGGTGGGCCACTCAGCTCAACCAATGCCTACCTGTGCCACCCACCTGTGATCCCAGTGCAGGCAGCGTTTCCAGAGATCAAGTCCACACTGATGGTATGCGGTACAAAGGAGCAGCTTTTCCATCCCTGACTGTGTTGTCAGTGACCAGTGGTACACGCCACAGTTGGGCCTGATTTTGTGGTTCCTGGAGCACCCCTCGTCAAGTCCAAACATAGGGTTTCTCGGCTTGAAATCCACACATACAGACATCCCTGGTCCCTGCCGTATGATTAGGATGTCCTCAGCAGGTGGGTAGGGCGGCACGGCTAGGACAGAAACAACGCACAGAAATGCTGGTAGGGCTCATGACCGTGAGGAACATGGAGATGAGGTCTAAGGGGTCACTGGCGCCTTGGCCAGTGTGTGATGGCCACCTGACCATGCCTTTTGGCTAGAGGATGCTGGACTGCCAGCCTTTCTGCTCTTAGGACCGTGATATGCTCACCTGTCTGCTCAGGAGCCTTGCGTGCCTTTTCCACTCACTTGGCTTTCGCAGACGAATTCTTCCGTTGATAGTGGCTACCATTGTCCCGCCTTTTCTTCCCGTGTTTTGCATGTTCTCTCTGCATCCCCGGCTTGCTAGGCTTGCTTGCAGCAGGCACGACTCTGACTCACTGGGAGGGCAGGTTGGGTTCCTGGCCACCACCCTCTCTCTACCCTTCTCTGCCATTCAGTGGAGGGCTCAGAAACTGGTGTGTCGTCATAGCTAACTCCTTCACATTTTGGGTGAGATTGTCATAACTTTTTTGAAACAAAAGTTACCTAGTGTGCATAGTCACTGACAGGAATCCCCAGTGGTAAACATTTTTTTCTAATAAATGTTTTTATAGTAAAAGCTACCAGGGAATTAACCCTAGGAGAGTTTACACAGACACCCTGGGGTATAACACACAGACACACACACACAACACACGCAAAAACACACACACACAGGTCTATGTATGCACATGTATATGACATGCATATACACATCTCTGTAAGATATTACTCAGAAAGTTCTAGAAGCTGTAAGGTGAGTCTCATTTTTAAAATGAGACTGTAAGAAAAATGAGACTAAATAATTTAAAAGTAAACCAGAATTCATTTTTAGGAGTGGAGAATAGTCTGCCCACCACAGCAAATATGAGTTGTGCCTTCCTCTTTAATACATCATAAAGAGGGGAATATAGAATATGGGAAGTGAGAGTGACTTCAATGTGAATGAAGACAAACATAGTTTAACACAAAAGTGGAAATAAACGTAATTATTTTGTATCTGTCTTGAACACTTTTGCCAAGCACATAAAAGTGTCTGCAGGTGAGAAAGAGGCCTCGCGCTCTCCGCCCGAGCAGTTTATAGGCGTACGATTTCTTTAGTTCTTGCGGGATTCCTGGCAACTTAGCCAAAATCACGTATAAAGGTGGCCCTTCTGTTTTAGAGAAACAATCAGATAAATGAGAGGCAGCCGGGATTCCTCTCTCTACCGTTGGCCTATTTGCCGTTTGAAGATATGAACGTGATTCAAAGGCAACTTCCCTTTACAGCGGGAGCTGCTTCTAACAACTAAAATACATTAACACATCATCAAAGTAATTACAACCTGAGGAATCGCAAGGATCCGCGGCACTGCCCATTGGTAGGATGATGCGGTCATGGATGTATCTCCGTGGGAACCCAGCAGCCAGTAAATCACTTACTTAGAAGCGTAGGCATGGGCACACATCTGTCATTGTGCTTTGATAAAATGAGTGCTTTTATATTACAAATCAGTTAAGATATAGAGGAGAATGAGCGTACGGCCTTTAAAATGTCAAAGTTAGTCTTCAGCGGAACCAGAGGGTTTGACTTCCCCTCTCAGCTATGGAGACAAAGGGACAGTGTGGTCATGTGTCCTTCAGAGAAATTATTCAAAGAAATAGAAGCGTTTTTCTTTTTCTTTTTAAGTATTTAAAGATGTAAAGAGCATCACGGAAGAAAGAAATTTTTATTTCCAATATAGCACAAATCACCACCGCCGTTCCCACTCTTCTTCAGGAACCAGGTGACTTGGTCACACAGCTTTTAGTGGCAAACTTCAGCTCAGAGCAGAAGCACCACCACAAGGGCCAAGGCCCCAGTCAGAGGACTTCCCTATTCTATCTGGTGGCCGTTTGTAGACGTTTCTCCATCAGAGAATGAGAAAAGTCTTGATCTGATCAGAAGGGCTTGTTCCTCAGGGAAAAAAAAAAAAAAAATGAGGCTAACATCCCAGAGACCGCCATGGAGAATGGTGGTGTTTGCCGTGGGAACTTCAGTGACTGCCAGGCTCTGGATGAACGGTCTCCCGTCACAGAGGGTGGTGGTTCCCATGATTCCAGAGTGTCCTGCCTTCTGAACTCAACCTGTCCATGGCCTCTGACCAGCCTTTCTTTTATCCACAGCTGTGTCTTCGCCGTCCTCCTTCACGATGAAAACAAACACGCTGAGCACGTCGGTGCCGAATTCCTATTACCCAGGTAACAGCCTCCCTGCCGGCTCGCATCCTTACCAGCTTTGGCAGCGCTTGGCCTTTTCCCGCAAGGCTTTCCTGTGGCTTTCCTGGGGAGACTGGGGACTGTGTATCAACCATTTACTGTTCTTTCTCTTTTTACTTTTCTCTGCACTGCCCCGCTTACGATGTATGACAGACGCATTTGTGCCAACTGCAATTTTAGGTGAGAATAATCCCCTTACCCAGAGTTTATTTCAGGAGTGACTGAGGAAAAAAAAAAACCAGCCTCACTCTAGAGGAGACTGGAGTGTTAACGGTGCATGGGGATGGGATGGGGTTAGGAGCATGGGGCAGGGCGATGCGTCTTCCTGCGAAGTCTCCACCGGTAGGAAGGGTTTGCTGCATGCCGGGGTGTGGTGATCCCGAAAGGTTTCAGTGAGCAATGCCAGCTCCAGGGCTTTCCCTGTCTGCGCTCAGATTTAATGTTAGTTCTGATCCCAGGGGAAGACAAACGCCACGGCATCACTCAGCTGTGTACTTCCGAGAGCTGAATTCTGCCCGACACGACAGTCTTAAAAGTGAAAATAGCTTCTCGTTATTTTCAGTCATCTCTCTAAGCACTAGAATTGCCAGTTTCAAAAACAGCGTTTTCCTAATGATGCCCCCCTATGTTATACCGTATAGTGATCGCAGTGGGGTCTAGACCTCCTGCCCATCTGCCTAGGGCACCCCCCCCAGCAGCCTGTCAGTCACACCGTGGAACTGCTAACGGAACTGATGTTCTGAACAGCGGAATGGCGGGAGGGCGCTTTATCATCGAATGGTTTATTACGTGTCGGATGTCACAAGAAATGAGCTAGGATGTTAGCCCAATGGGGCAGAATGCATTTGAAGTATGAGATATTCCCAGCAGGGGGTTACAAGGGGTGGGAAAGTCCCGCTGGTACAGTTTAAAAAGGGCGAGGAGAAAGGACATTCCTTGCCCGTGATAAGCAAACCAGCATGGGCTGCTGTGGCATTTGAGACGCTTAAAGTGACCTGAGTGTGTCCCGGCTGTGTTCCCTTTCTCCTACTAACCGTGCGGGAAGGAGCACACCAAAAGCGACTTCCAGGTAGATAACAGTTCTTGTAGCCAGAGCTTCAGCTTCAGCTTCCTTTTCCTGACCGTCTTCGCTAGGCCTCAGTGCCCAGCCAGGGCTCCCCACTGTGCCCCTCAGTTCTCAGTGTTTGCCCCTTTTCTGGGAGAGAGTAATTCTCATTTTCATCCCCGAGTCCGTTAGGCTGAAGCAAGTTGGTTGCCTAAGGAACAAAATGAACTGAGATTAAGTATGGGACAGAGGATTCGAAGTATTATTCTGAGGGCCCGGTACAGCCCCCACGAAATAGAGTTTGAGCAGCTGTAAAGGGGGGGGCACTCCGCTTTAAATCCTTCTCACAGGTGAGGGACACGGGCTCATTTCACGCACACTGACGTTCTGATCTCCATGCAGGGACATTTGGGAAGTTATGGGATAGGCAAAGGTTGTGGCGTCTTCGTGTGCTGTGGCGTTCACATCCGGGGTCCCCCTGTGGATGTTCTGATTCAGGAGGAACGGTGGGGTAGGGACGGTTGAGGCGTGCGTTGTTAAAAGGAAAAAACACATTCAGATTTCACAGCAGGAAAAGATAAGCCTATTAGACAAATACCATTTCTTCAAAGCCACTGCCTTATTATTAGGAACATTAATGACATCCTTTGAAATTGCTTGGGCTTCTTTTCTGAGAGAACGTGACTCGAACTGTCAATTCAAGTTTCAAAATGGCGCGAGAAAAGCTAAGTCCACCAAATGCACACACAGATCACTATGTTCTGTGGTATAATCTGTGTAGCAGAAACCAGCAAGATCCATGGCAGCACTTGGGAACCATGATAGAGGGCCCTGGTCTGGTGCACTGTGCATCTGTCTGTTGCTGGAATCGGACCAGTGAGGTTATCCCTTGAAGCCACGGGGAGATGAGCTGTGTGTTGCAGGGACGGAGGCAGTGGCAGGTCACAGCAAGACAAGAAGGGCTATTTCGTTGGGAGACTGGAGACAGGAACAACGTTCTAGTACCTTAGTGTTTCATTTTCACTTGGAAGGGCCCAGTTTTCAAGGAGCATCTAAGTATATCTTTACCTCAGATGGTAGATAATAAAGTGATTGATCCTCCTCCCTCTCAGACATACAGCATCCGTCCCAAGCCAGTGTTTTTTCAACTCATTCATTAATGACTATCAAATTAATTTTATAGTAACTAATTAAATTAATTTAAAAATTAATTCTCAGAAAATCATCAGGACCGATATTAAGAAACCTTCCTTTCTGATACTTTCATCTAAGACATTGTTTTTAATTTTAGAAAGTTATTGGTGGGTAATTTTTTTTTTTACTATAGGAAGCAGATGACATGGGATATTGTTTACCAGTAATAAGTCATTTCAGTCAGTCAGAGAAAGCCGATTGATGGCTCGTTTTAGTAGGGTCAGAAATGTCTAGCAGGAGAGGTCACCCAGTTTCCTAACCAATATGGTACAGGACTTTCTCTTTCCCCTGTTGTCTGCTGGACAGCAGCTCTTTCTGGGAGGATGCCGTGGTATGTATGTACCTGAAGAGGTGTTCCACCTTAGAAATGAGGCCCAAGTATCATCGTGCACTGGGGAAGTATATACAACATTGGCAGCGACTGTCGTTCCATGGCCTTAAAACTCCAGACCTGGGATCAGAGCATCACCAGGGGCTGGAAAAAGCCCCCTTGAGAAGACCGAGTCCTGTAGGCGTTGTCTCGCTCAGCCACAGTGAAAGGCAAATTTCATTGTATTCACCACACAAAGTATAAAACCACGAGAACAAGAGAGGCACAGAGGGGAAACTAATTAATGTTCCATTTCTTTTAGTATTTATCCAGAACAGAGCTCTCTCCTAGAGAACTAAGAGCCCAGTAGATTGAGTCCCTCGGCAGGGATCCTGCCTCCCAGCTGCTAACTCTTGGCGGTTGCCAATAAGCAGATACAAATTTCCAGGGGGTATTGGTGACTATTAAGATGGGAACAGAGACATTGCTAAATTTCAAAGCAAATCCAAATGAAAAAAAAATATAAAAAAACGAAACAAATCATAAAATCAGCTTACCACCCTTTTTTCTTTTGTTTTCTGTGTCTTGAGCCGCCTTGTAGTGGTTGGGGTGCCATTTCAGCCACAGCGACATAGCTCCACACCTGTCTGCCACCCTTCATACCATGCATCCCCAGGGGCTTTGCGATGCAGACAGAGCAGGGTCGCAGGACAGGCCCAGCTCACCACGTTCCTGAGATTAAGCCTTTAAGTAGAACAGCAACAACAAAAAACAAACAAACAAACAAAAACTTAACACCAACTATAGCTGAAATCCCTGTTTACTACATAACGTGAATTCCCAAACAATCCCATCTTTTTTCCTATATTTCTATTATTTATACATGAAATTGATTTGATAACTCCTTGTAAATGATTTTTTTAGCATTGTGATTTCATAAAAGCCTTCCTGGTTCATGAAGCAACTTAAAGGGATTCAGCATCTTAAGGAGTGAACTCGTAGAAGATGAAATTCTTAATTGAACACATGTTCCTCAGACACTTTCAGTAGAAAACGTTTCTGCAATTTATTAATCTAATTCACTAGTCATCACCCATTAAAACCGAGCCTCTTTAGGCTTGTTTGGCCAAAATTTGACATTAATTTTCTAGTACAATGTGATTGGCTTTGTTGAAGAAATTTTGATGACAAATGAGCTGACCACAAATCGCCTTTATTTAGTTATTTCTTGGTTCATGGGGGATGAAAAACAATTATATACTAATTTTAGCCTCCCTTTTTCTGACTGAGTGCTTCAGTGAAACAACCCCATCCCACCATGATGGGAGGGTTAAGGCTTTGCCCTCTGACCACCTCTGAATAGAAACTCTAACTGGAAGACCGAAAGCACGCAGTAGAAGTACCTGTTAGCTCTCTCTCCACAAGTACCGTTGGCTTATGTCCTGTTTCCTTTTTCTCCTCCTCTCTTCTCCTGATATGTATCCGCTTTAAAGTGCCAATCAATGGTAAGTTCCCCAACTCGCCCCTTGGAGAAGCTGCGGAGGGAGTGTGGGGTGTGTGTGTCTTACCCGTAGACTTGAGGGAGCCAGTGTGCTGCCCTGTGCTGGCCTGCATGTTTGCTGTCGTAGAACATTCTGTGTGTGATGCGTTGGCCCACAGTATTTTTCGTTAAGCCTTCTGATCCAGAGCATGCAAAGTGTCTCATCAAAACATTATCCCCCAAACCAGGTCCCCTCTTAGTTTTTCTCTCGCCTCTGATTTCTCGTCCCAAGCGCCCATCCGCATTGCTAGCTTTATCTGCCGAACCATTTTGTGCACTTTTCTTTTGCTCACAGAACATTTGTAGAGTTTATTTACTTCATTACACAAATGAATTAGCTGACGATTGGACGTGGACAAGCCTGGGTTTTGCACCAGGTCTTAAGGAAGTTTCGGATTGAAACTTCTACCAATTTTACCACTGAAATGCTGGAAGGCTCCTGTTGACCAGCTTCGCAGAAGCACTATCTCGTTTGGACTGCTTTGTAAGAGCAAAGATTCCCGCCTCATTCCGAGCAGTATTGCCGGCCCCAATTAAACCTACGAACCTGTAGCCTATAGTTTCTGGCTGAGCCATCCTAGGGTGGAGGGATGTCGGTAGCTAGCTTGTTAGCATCCCGTGATCCTGACTCGGCCTGCTGGCTCACACTCCTTTTCTCCTTCATCTTCCTTTCTAGATGAGACCCACACAATGGCCAGCGACACCAGCAGCCTAGTGCAGTCCCACACGTACAAGAAGCGCGAGGCTACTGACGTGCCTTACCAGACCGGGCAGCTTCACCCGGCTATCCGTGTGGCAGACCTCCTCCAACACATCACTCAGATGAAGTGTGCTGAGGGCTATGGCTTCAAGGAGGAGTATGAGGTAAGCCTGGGCTGTGTGCCGCCTGCCAGTATATTAAATAAGCTGCCTGGATCCTAGACATCTCTAGGACCAGGCCCAGATGGGGCATCCACAGGTGTTTTCCCAGCTGCTGGTGAATGTGTTCAGCAGGAAAGGAAAACCATTCCACATTATATTTCCTCATGCAGAAGCGTGCATTGGCCACAGGCTATCTTTCCCCTTCTCCTGCTCAATCGTTTCTCTGATGATGGCCGAGCAAGGCAGTGGTCTATGAGGACAGCAGAATGTCATTAGGAGTCATCTCACTGTCACGTTCTCGTGGCAACACTTGTGTTTGTTTTTCCTCTAGGCCCATGGTCTGTGCAGTCTCAGGTTCTGGCCTACTCTCCCAGGGCCGGATGTGGGTTTCATTTCATGGGGTAGGCCTTAACGCCAGAGAGACGGTAGTTACTCCCACAACCTTGGGACTAGTCTTAGAGGATTGCGATCACCATTGATCTCCTGGAGCCTATGCAAATCAAGCAACGTTCCGGACCTCACTCCGGGCCACTCATGGTTCTTCTCTTGGGGGCCCCAGTGCTGCTTTTCCTTGGGCTGAGCTCTCTACCCAGCTTGATTATCAAAGATCCACCACACACGATACCAACAGCAGCTGAACCACAGCCGCTCTTAAGCATAGGCCCGGGGTCCAAAGCAAGTAGACATGCGTGCCCAGCCGAGCAGTCACCACCTGGTACAGTGCCAGTGAGCGTGACAAGACTGCAGAGACACAGGAACCAATCCCAACCCTGTCCCTGGCATTTTATTTCATTCCAGAACATTTTCTGACGAAGCTGTGCCTCATCGGCAGCTCTGAGATTCGCAGATTTACCCTCAGCATTTCAATGTATGATTCAGGGAAATTGACAGCCTTTGCATATTGCTTCATGCACTTTTAAAGGGTAGCTTAGGAATTAATAGGATTAAGAGTAAGACTTCCAAAAGCATTAATATCTTATGAAAGACAAAATTAGGTTATTGAGAAAATATAAGCCTAATGAATAGAGATGATGTCTTAGTTCTAGCCAATTCTCTGCATGTGGATATTGCGCAAATGTTTATTAAAGATGTTAATGTCAAAGAGATTAGTTTTTGGCTCAAATAACAATTCGTAAAATAGCTGAGCCCAATTTTTCATGGACTATTTAAAGATACCTACTTGTGACGTCTATAACAAACTACGGGCAATGCCTATCTGAATGTATGCAAAATTATTTTTCGCCCCCATCTCCTGAAGACATTTGAAATGCAGGTGCAAACTAGGGTATCTTGCACTCATTTTAAGCATCCTCTGATTGACAGCTCATTACGATTTTTTATACCTTAAAAAAGTGCTGTTTGTTGATGCGTTTCAATAAACAACAAAAACCTTCCTCTCTCATTTGAGCCATTCAGAAAACCATCAAGAAAGATGGTTTTAAAGCAGACCCGCTGAATCTCAAAGTAAATAATAATTTTTAAAAAATGAACGGAGAAAAGGAAACGTGAACATACTGTATATATGAAAAGGAAGCAGAGGCAAAGGGGGAGGAGCTACTGAGGAAATACAAAATGGGAAATTCTGTTAGGAATAACCCCATCACCCAGTACCGCACCCCCTCCCGCCCCATCTGTCATTACAGATCACGCCAGCATTGGTCTGGAGCGATGGTAGATGAACTTGTATGATTTGATGGGGGGAGATGTTTGCTAAGTAGCATCTCTCATGAGGCCTGAAGTCCTGGCCATGCCTCCCTTGTCTCTATCACCCAATTACGTCAGTTTTGTGGCCAAGTCTGTGCGTGAGTCAAACCATTAAGAACCAATGAGAAGACCTCCTCCACAAATATTCTTGCTCTGCTTTCCCTAACCCCAGGCAGTCTTCATCCTAGGGTGGATAAGGACAGTCTTCAAATGGGCTGCTCTTTAAATACAATTGGTGTGCTATGTCAACTTGACACCTGCTAGAGTCATCACAGAGAAAGGAACCTCGGTTAAGAAAATGCCTTTATAAGATTAGGCTGTGGGCAAACCTGTAGGGCATTTTCTTAATTAGTGACTGATGGCTGAGGCCCAGCCATTGTGGGTGGTTCCATCCCTGGGCTGGTGGTCCTGGCTTCTACATGAAAGCAAGCTGAGCCAAGCCATGAGGAGTAGCTTCAGGGCGCCTGTGTCAGCTCCTGCCTCCAGGATTCTGCCTGTTTGAGTTCCTGTCCTGACTTCCGTCTGTGATGAACAGTGGTGTGGAAGCATAAGCCAAGGAAACCCTTTTCTCCCCAAAGTGCTTTAGGTCACGGTGTTTGTCACAGCCATAGAGGACCTGACTCAGGGCAGCCACATTAGAGCTGTAACTGGATTTAGCCTGCTCACTCACGCCTTGAACTGTGTGTTTCCTAAGACTTTTGAGAAGTTGTCTAGCCTCTACGGTCCTCGGTTTCTTCACCCTTAAGATGAACTCACTGCAGCAGCCTTATGAGGTTGTGTGAAGATTTAGTCACATAATATATCATAAGCACTAAAATTTTATCTAGCGTACAGTAAACATTTGTTTGAAGTATTAGTGAGGTTAAGAAAAAAACACTTTAATAACAAAATCCAAGAGAAATTTACGTTGCGTTCTTTATACAGAAATTGTATAATAAATTATAGTAAGGTTTCAGTTCATTTCTGTCATTTTTAACATTTTTGTAGGCATATTTTCATTTACATAGTGGTGCAAGATTTTTTTTTTCAAAAAATAGGTGTGCATTGACCATACTTAACCCATGCCCTATCCTTTATTTCTCCTCTCCCTCTCACTAGCTCCTTCATTTTTCATTTTCGTGTATCTATGAAAGTAGAAACATGAACATCTGGAAAAATATATATTATACACATATATACATATTATATATACATATATGTGCACGTGCATATATATTATACATATGTGTGTATATTATATTGTACACGTGTATATATTTATATATGTGTTATGCATATCTATGATATATATCATACATATTTTATCTAGCCATGTCTTGGTAGCAGCTAAGCTGATTTTTAAGCCAGCTGTCGTGAACGGTGCAGCAATAAAGATGGCCGTACAGGATCTGTGTAGTGTGCTGGCTTTGAGTTCCGCTGGTGCATTCTCGGGAGTGAGGTGATATAGCTGGATTATACAGTGATTCCGCTTTTAGTTTTTTCAGATTACCTCCAAACAGATTTCCCCAGTGGCCAGATGGGTTGACATCCCACTGTATAGGAGCTTCCTTTCCCAGCATCCTCCTCGGCTTGTTCTCTTCTATGTCTTAGTGACAGCCATTCTGCTGTGGTGACGTGAAACCTCGGTATAGTTTTTTTCCTCTTGTTTTCCTTTTGAAATTATTGTACAATTACATCCTTTGCTCTTTCCCTCTCCTCCCATCAAGGCTTCTCATATCCCCCTCCTTTCTCTCTTTCACAATCACGGCCTCTGTTTGCATCGTTGTTGCGTGCATCTGTCCTAACTATATCCCGCCCCGTTGGTATAATGCTATCATGTGTGTGTTTCCAGGGCTGGCCATTTGAAATTGGATCACCCATTGGTGTGTTCTTCCCTGGGAAGACTGTTCCCCCATTCTTGGCATTCCTTCGTCGCCTGTAGATCGTTGTGTGGGGTTGAGGCCTTGTGGGTTCCCCCGTCTACTTTAGCACATCTATTGGAGCCGTCCTTGTCCAGCTAATGTTGGGGCAGTCCTGTTCGTGAGGCCATGGTGTAGTGGCTGACATTACTCCACTGCAAACTCCCTGATTCTCTGGCTTTTGCCCTCTTTTCCCCCCTACTCTTCTGCAGTGTTCCCTGAGCCTCGGGTGTGGGAATTCATAGTGTAGATGCACCCATTGAGAATGGGCTCCCCAAGTCGGCATGTCAGCTGGTTATGGAGACCTCACTATAGTGTATTTGTCTCTGTCACTGCTTGCCTTTAAACATCAGAGAACCAAGTAAATCAGTACTTGGCACACTGAGACAGAATGAGGTATTTTGCAGAAAAGTGGGCAGTATATTTCGCCAAATCCATAAATGACTTCCTCCACCCCGTACCCATATTCTCAAAAATTCCTACTAAAATGTAACTTGAAAAGAAAAAGTTGTGGGATTGATTCTATGGATTAAGACTGTAAAATTTAAAAAAAAGCATATTTTAAAATGCATGCTAATACCTCTTATTGCTAAAATAATGTTTTTATATCTAAGAAAAAGTCTAAGTAATGATATTGATTATAGACTGTAGAACTCTCTTCTAAGAAAGAGGGAGGGTGTGAGGGAAGGAGAAAGTGGGAAGAGGGTCACATTACTGTCTTCGGCAAAGTAATGTTTGGGGAGGGGTTTCCAGGGTCCACAGGGGAACACTGCATTGCTCTACCCTCTGAAGGTTTAGTGTGGACCTGGGTTGGAACTGCTGTGCATCTAATAGAAAACTGCATGACCCAGACAGATGTTCAGAGTCCTATGAAGGATTTGGGGACACCTGAGCCAATCTGGGACAAAAGTAACCTCTCTCTAAAGCCTGAGTGGGGATTTCCACGAGAAGTTGAAAGGGAGACATTCCATGTAGACACAACGCAAGAGAACAGGGGTATTCTGGAATCACGACTCCAGTCCTCATGCCTGAGTCATGGAGATGTTAAATGACAAGAGTCCTGGGGTTTATGATCACAAGGGTTTGATGGGTCATCATACGTGAGAGGTTTGGATGCCATGTTGTTTTGGAGGCTGCTGGAAGCAAACAGCACTTCAGAAAGCAGGGCTGTCCCTCCTGTGTAGAGATGGACACCCATATGTCATATAAGCAGCTTGGGTTTTACATTTCTTCTCTGAGGCACACAGAAAGAACTAAAACTCCTGAAAGCATATGAGAGGAAGGCAAACGTATTTGCTGAGGGAGAATTCCACATGTTCTGGAACGTGCGGCCTCCAAACCCACTCGAGCATAGAAGGCCTTCCATACCTAAGCATCTCCAGGGACAAAAGATACAGAATC